AAACAATATGCCTGGTGCGAAAAATTAGGTAATTTAATTACAATTACCGTCGCTGGAGTAATTCATTACATTACTAAATTACCTGCTACAAAAAGTAATGAATTACATTACTAATTACTGGAACAAGTAATTAAATTAGTGTAATTTCATTACAGTAATTGCATTACTGCCAGCTCTGCTCTCACTGTTGGCATGTCGTTTGGCAATCTTACCGGATTTCGGCTCATCGTACCTGAGATGCGTTAGGCTCCTTTAAAAATGTTCAGCATAAATCGGGAGGAGTGTTTCTTGACAAGAAGAGTGCGCGTTGGAAGTAGTAAGTTGTAGTAGCACGCGTAGCACTTGGCTGGTAAGAAATCGGGAAACGCGAGACGCGGAGGAGGCAGGAGAGGTAGCGCATGTCCCCAATGAGTTTACACCACTTCCGCTACCATCCGCCGGCCATAATTCGATCTTTCGCCGCTGTTGGAGGACAGCAGCGCATACGGTGAACTGTTCTAGCAAAAGGATAATTTGTATAGCTCCAAGAAGTGCATTAGGGTTTCACACGCTTTTTCTTTGTTGTAGCCAAGTAAATCCCAAATTCTCCTTACACAAAAATTAGCACCTTGAAAGATGACGGGCATTTCGGCCGTGAGTTGAGTCCTTCAACCGGAGATCGTAAAAAGAGAAACTGAGGGAGAGGAGGAGGCGAGAGAGCGTGAAGACGTCAGGGCCAACACCTCTTGGATGACAAGGCCATAGTGCGGATAGAGATGTCATCAGCGAAGGCCAACGCTGGGTGCACATTAGACACGACGATTACGTCAATGTTCGGCTCAAATTTGGCTTCAAGCCGAGCGCTGACCCAGCACTCGCTTCCAATGTGTGTCCAGCGGTGGACTTCGCTGGATGACGCAAAAAATGTCATCACTACGGCCTTGTCTTCTAGGCGGTGTCGTCAGAGCGCCCAGCTGTGATTAGAAGGATAGCGCTAGGCCCAAAAAAGTCTAGCTGCATTTGTCTTTTATACCCGCTCCTCGAACGCGTTCAAACACTGGCATTCGTTGTTGGAACGCCAGAAACTGCGCAAGGAGCACACGACTCTTTCTTGCTGTTATTTGAGCGGCTAAGCACAAATGCAGCTAGCCTTCGCGTCTACCCTCTAAGTATTCCAATCAGAGTTCGGTTCACTGACGTTCCCCAGCGCTCTCGCCTTCCTCTCTTCGTGAGTTTATTACGTATAGACTGGCATTTTACTTCAGAATCCACGATAAGGAAACAAAAAATACTGATGTGATACCAGGATTGAAATAAACCCTGATCTCTTTGATAACTTGGGATGGCCCCTTTTGTCTTACGACGAATAATTGTATTTTTCTTTTTCGATGCTATAATTGGTTTCAGCTTAAGTCCAGACGCAGCCACCGCTACGACCAATCAAGCAGCCGCAAAAGCGCAAGTCACTGGGCCTTTCTTGTTTATGATTGGTTCCGCGTTAATAGAACTCGTGCATAAACATGATGAACGCCATTTTGGTGGGGATTTGACACCGTCTTTTTATTGCTCCCGTCAGCTCGTAGCGTGGGCGGTATCTGGACTTCAGGTGAAGCAAAGTATAGACATCTTCCGCTACCCTTAAATGACTTGTCCACCATCTTGACGACTTTCATAGCAGGAGAAACTTGCAAGCGCTCTCTTTCCTCATCGTAAAGGTCGACGCGTACACCGTATTCACCGTATACACCGTATTTTCTCAAAGCTGGTATCTTTTCTTAAAATGAATAAGTTCTTTTATCCTTATCAACATGGTTTTCGCAAAGGGTTTTCATGCGAGTCGCAACTTTCCGCTTTCATTCATAATCTACATTGTAATCTTGACAATAACATACAAACTGACGCAGTTTTCCTGGATTTTTCCAAGGCCTTCGATAGGGTCCCCCATAACCGACTGATGCTTAAACTTTCCCAGCTTAACTTAGATGCTAACGTCATTTCTTGGATTAACTGTTTCCTTACCGGTAGAACCCAGCTTGTACTCGCTAACAACCACTCTTCTTATCCTTCTCCCGTCACGTCTGGAGTACCTCAGGGGTCTGTTTTAGGTCCTCTTTTGTTTTTAATATATATTAATGACCTTCCAATATCAGTAGCTTCTAACATTCGTCTTTTTGCCGATGATTGCGTAATATATGTGCGTAATATATCGTAGCGTGTGCGTAATATATCGTAGCATTATTTCTCCCGCCGATAATATTATCTTGCAGAACGACCTAATAACCATCGAAAAGTGGTGCACAGACTGGCAAATGTCACTCAACGCTGATAAATGCATGCTCTTTCCTTCCACCGCCGCACTAACCCAATGTCATTTGTGTATCGCTTAAATAGTTTCGCCCTAACATCCTGCACATCGTATAAGTACCTTGGTGTATATCTCACCCCAAACCTCTCATGGGCAACTCACATTGAGCATCTAATTAAATCTACTAACCGCTCTTTAGGATTCCTCAAGCGTAACTTAAAGTCAGCCCCACATCACCTCAAACTTCTCGCCTTTAAAACACTTGTTCGCCCTAAACTAGAATTTGCTTCATCTGTGTGGGACACTCATCAGTCATATGTCTCTTCCGACGTCGAAGCAATTCAAAATCGCGCAGTCAGGTTCATTCATTCAAATTATTCGTATAACACTAGTGTCACAGCGTTGAAGAAACAAGATAACTTCCAAGATCTCAGCATACGCCGCAAAATAACCCGTCTTCTGCTCCTTCATAAACTATTCGATGATGCTACTAAGTGTGAGTCATACATTCAAGTACTATAGCTGCTGAACGCCATCTCCGCAATAGACTACTTCCATAAAGCCCTAAATGCAACACGGCGCGCGTTGCACTCTGGGAACTAGTTGGCCAGCCAGGGAGGAGGGTGGCATGGTTTCGGTTTCGATCGACACGTCGACAAGAGATTATACACAGAGCGTGGGCTATTAACGGCAGTTATCTCATGTTTTCTGGTCCCGAGAGCGTCATTTGTGGTCTCTAAACCAGACCTCGAAGCTTTAGACAAGCCCGAGACGTACAGCTTGTCTTAACTTATGCTTGTTGTATTTTTGTACTTGAGTCTTTCTGTTAGCGTTTGAATCGAGGTATGAGGACGAGCCAGTGCTGGGAATCTCGACGCTGCGAAGCTCGGGAATCTTGCTTGTTTACGAGTCAACAAGTTCTAGCAACCAATAAGTATGCATACATCGAGCTCGCGCCTTTACATATAGTGTTGTTGATCAGGAAGTTTGTTTGTTTCGTGCGTCCATAGACGAAATATCCCTTTTTGCAATTACTGTTTTTCTTAATACGCCTGAGTACGCGAGGTAAAACTCGGAGGCGCCATTGAAAAGCTCAATTTTAACACACTTCTTATCTCTTACCTGTACTGACCCGCAGCACTGCACGAAGTGAGGGAGGTCCCCACCCGCTTGCATTCCAGTAATGTTCAACATGGCGTATGCGCATAAAGTTATCCTGCAATCATATTGACACATTCGCACATACAGACCGTTTTTAAAAAGCAAAAGTCGAGAACTTCTGTGAAGAATGTCGCACCGTTCGCCGGGAGTGCGCCGGACGGGCATAAACCCCTATGCGGTGCGCCAAACGAACTAAATTATTCAAAGCCCGTTTGACGGTTGCTAATGCCCATAGTATTTGTTATGTGTTTGCTTTCTTCTTGCCTGAGTATGTCGAGATAATTTCAAACACACCGTTCAGGCACAGATCTTGGGCGTCAGTAAAAGCTCGTCCAAAAAGGCTTAGCGAGGAGTAGGGGACGCTTGTTAGGGCTTCCGTCGTAGCTAGCCGATCTCAGCGTTTGCGAAAACGTAATCTTCTATCACCATAAAATTTGAGTGGGAGATATATGATGACACGAGGAAGACATCATAGTAACGTTTGTGCAGTAGTGAGGTCGAATTTATAGCGTTTCCTTAAAAGTTCATGCGTCAACGCTGGGCTCAACTTTGATACTCCTGTGAGAATGCAGCTTGCTTTTTGCCCAATGAAGTAACAAGAAGTGGACGTTTGGCAAACAAAATAGGTGAAAGGCTCCAGATGAACACATTTTATTTCTAGTTCACTCGTACTAGATGGGTTTATTGAAATTGAACTCAAAGATGCACTCGTGGCGTGAGGTGACTAAGCCACGTCTTACTACGTTTGCATACGCACTCATAATATCCGGTGTTTCGGGAACCAAGAAAAGTGCCCCGGTCTTCGTTTTGTATCGCTCGAGAATGAGTGTATTGTACGTTCGTGAAAAGTCAGATAATCGAAAACGCAAGCAGCGCGTTCGGTCCCGGCGTGAAAGCATGAGATGAAGCTGCTCAGTCGAAACCGAAACTGAGCGGCCAACTAGTTCCCAGAGTGCACTGCGTGGTATTTCGCCGCGATGGGGCGCGTCGGTTTTGGAAGAAGTCCATTACCATCCTCACCAAGTCATACCTGCAAAATTTAAAACAACTACTTTCATGAATTCATTTTTTGTCAAAACTGCTAACGACTGGAACGATCTTCCCTGTGAAATCACTTCACTTGCTGACCCATTGAAATTTAAAACAGCTCTCCTCTCATTTTTCTAACTTGTGCATATGTTTACGTTGTCCATACAGCCAGTATTGCTATCATCAGTATACCAGCCTAACTAAACACCAGTATCATATTTAGAATTTTTCAAGCATTTATCTAGCATTTTTTTTTAACCTTTCATTATTTTTTGTGTGCGTTTACTGTTTAATTTTTATTTGTATTGTATAATTTGCAAGTCCTTATTTGAGTGTCTATTTGTTACACTGTTTATTTTGTATTATCTACTTGCATTTGTTTATTATATATTACACGACCACCATGCCCACCCCTTATGTAATACCCCGCAAGGGGTCCTTAAGGTATGGAAATAAATAAATAAATAAAGTATACAGTCCCTTTGGCCAGAGTGCTGACGATTTCTTCCGATTCTTTCTATCACAGATGGTAACGCGCCTAAACTCTGGCCGCGAGCATTCGTGAAGGGTGCCTATGGACTGCAAAGAGTACAGGTAAACGCAGTTTAGCGCAACAGGATCATTTAAAAAGGCTGCCGCCAGTGTAGTGCGCTCGCTGTTTTTGTTAGTGCTCCTCTTGTTTCTGCACATTTCTCACTGCTGCTATTACGCGCCATTTGTTTATGTGTATCTTCTTGCAGCCCGTCCACGGTGATGCCAGGTGCTATAGACCCCTTTTCGAAATTTCGCGCCTCCTAGTAGCTGCTGCATGCGTCAATTATAAGAGTCGGTCACTGTTTGGGAACGCACTCTGTACATGTATTGGAGGCAAGGGCTGAGCCAGCGTCCGGAGACGGCTCGGATCTCATCACACGCAACGTGACCAAGAAATGCAGAACGCCAACGTTGCTTAATGCTTCGAAATGGTCTTTTGCGGGTAGTGTCAAATGAGCGAATAAAAAAAAAAAAAAAATTGGGTGGAACGAAGCTTGAAGGAACGCCGCTCAAATTATGCGGTGCACTTTTGAGAGCGGAATGCGACTGTTGCATTTTGCATGGGCGGAGCTGGAACGGGTTAGATTTTGTACGAAAGTAAGGAGAACAAACTGATTTTCAATATCATACAAAAAACAGGACGCTTTTTTTGCCTAATGCTTTTTCATTTTTTTAAGGGCGACCATTAGCTGTTTTACATTATATTCACAGTATCTGCATCCGGGTGGGGAGGTATTACCCACCGTCGGATAACTGCCAGGATCAGCTGTCTACATTACCGTATTTTTCCGATTAAAGTACCCGGATTATACACGCTTAAATGTTGAAAATTTACGCACTTCCGGCTGTCTACTTACACAGAGTATAAAAGGTTTCAAGATCGTTAAATACAAGACGTGGAGGATTTTGTGACTGTCAAAGTTCGTTACAGATTATTCTTGTATAACACAAGCTTCTTTGGGGCCCGACAAAGCAGGCATATGTTAAGGTGTGCTGCGTGTCAGAAAGTTTTATGTGCGCACTAGGAGCCAAGTGCGGACCATCTAAGGAATAACATTTTGTTTTTCAATCAAAATTAGTCCCTGCGGGCTATACGCCGGGAGGAGACTTTTTTTCGGAGAATGCGGTTACTAGAATTCTCTCGATTAAATGTTTAGTAATTGTTCTCGAGACTTGTGTTAAATTCTTGGTGTCTGAAGCAAGCCGTCTCGAGAAACTTTGTGGTTTACGGCCAGAACTCGTGCTGCGTTTGCATTCCTAAAGCATGTCGCAAGGCGTTCCGTTTTATGATTTGGGGAAGTTATTTCAGTAAGCATTCATGCAACATGAATATAACAATACCCAACATTCGCCAACAACAACTTTTTTCTGTTTTTTTTAACTGCAATTGTAACACGGGTTTTTCGAACTCGTGAAGCTTATAACTTCTAAGTAAAACTCGCTCTAAAAGTAAAAAGCGGCAATCTTTTTTTTTATTATTATTACTGGAACATGCAAATATATATCTACTGGAATCAAGACAGGACATACCAACCCTTTTTTCCAAACTGTCCACATACTGCGCAAATCCTGCACTGCAAAGCAAAAAAAAAAAAAAAATGCATAAACGAGGAGGGAAGCGCATCACCCTCTCTTTGCCGTCGTTTCAAGCGCTTGCGTGCCTTTCCTTCCTCCGGATCACACGTGTCTAGTTTCCTACGGCTCCTCGGGGCGGGGATAGTCCTCGACATGTCTGTGCGTAACGTTCGTCACTATGATCACCGATTAAGACAATAAATGTGTCGTACCTTTGTTCAAAATTCTGTCGCGTCTGTGTCATCTGCTAAACAGCTTCGCTGGGCATCCAACTTCACAAGGTGGAATGGCTCTTCACTTCTGTTTTGTTCTTTTGTTGACATTTCGAGCTAATGGTCCTAGCTTGTTTCCTGTTCAGTGTTCGGTTATTTTCACTTCAAGTTTGCAATCGGTTCAACTGTGCGCTGGGCTTCACCTATCACTATTCACGTAAACTATTCCCAAAAGAAATTTTTTCGAAGATTAAAAAAAAATATTAAAGACGTTTACAATTCTTTGTAATGTCGAATTAGAGCGCAGCTCTTGAAGAGGAGGAGCAGAGGGGATGCCCCTCCTCTCCCTCCCCTCCTACTCGCCTGCTGCCCTCCCATTTAGTGTGAACTTTTCGCTAAATTTACCGCAAAATTTAGCAGAAATATTTCATTGCTAATTTTAGCGGAGAAATTTTCGCTAAACAGAATGACGACAAAGAGAGAGCGGTGCGCTACCCTCCTCCACCTCTCCTCCTGCCGCTGAATTTGTTCATGGGTGACGCGACACGAAGTCGTGGCGTCGTTTTCCCCGCTAAATTTAGTAGAGAAACTGAATTGGTACCGTGGTCACGTGACAAAAAATCGTGACTTCAATTTTCCTGCAAAATTTAGCGGGGAAACTGAATTGGTGCTGAGGTCACGTGACGTCGATTTCCCCACTAAATTTAGCCGGAAAATTTCCCCGCCAAAGTTACGGCTAGGCTCCCGTGGAGTTTTCGTTTGTGGCAAATGAGACGTCACCACTTCGTGTCACGTGACGTGAATGTTCCCGCTAAAGTTAGATGGGGAAACTGCTTAATGTTGAGGTCACGTGGCGTAACGTTCCCCTATAAATTTAGCGAAAAAATTTCCCCGCTAAATCTGGAAGGAAAATGACGTCACGGCTTCGTGACGTCAGGTGACACGAAGTCGTGACGTCATTTCTGTTGCCGCGCACAAAAATCCACGGGAACCAAGCAATAAACAGCTTTGCTGTAACAGAAGACGAGAAAATACCGAAAAAAGACCTAATTCTGTTTTATGTTTGAAGGGGTTGCAACAAGGAAGGAACAAGCTACGAGCAAGACGATATCTCATAATTCCAACAAAGAGTTCTCCCAAAATTATACGCCTTTCTGAGAGGGGCTCTTAGAGCTTAGTATGGCGGAAATGCCTAATAAAATCGAAAAATAATTAGTCAGATTGCAGTCAAGCTAGTGTAAGTTGAACAAGATGATAAACCTGAGACTGGAGTAGCAAAATGAAAAACAGTAAAGGAACATGCATCAGGTATTGAATTCGTTGCCTTTTCCTTTTTGTCTTCCCTCGTGCTTTTCATTTTCCTACCTTAGTGTCAGGGTTATCATCATTCTCAAAGAAATCGATAATCCCGAGAAAAATGGCAGTGACTCATCGTTCCCACGTGTGCCTTTCTTTTTAAAGTTTAGTCATCTTTGAATGCAGCGTTTGGGGGACCCTATCCGAAGAAGGCGCGGTACACGTGAGCCCTTCCTGTTATTCAGTCGCTCTTTTACGTGTGTACAATTTGTTTAACGTGAACTCCGAATGTAGCGACTCGCGGCGCTTTGTAAAACGGTACGAGGTGTGCACTATAAAACCACAAGTTGTGATATTTAGCGATTTTATTAAAGACAGTGACTTCTTTTTCGCCCTGTCTTCAAAAGTATCAACTTGTGCCATGTTACTCCTCGTACTCAAACTCCATAAAATAGCGCAGCGATATTCTTTTGTCTTTTCTTCTGTTGCTTGCAAATAGAGCATGCAGTGTCAAATTACACAATGCGGAAGGATTTTCAGAAGTAATTCAATTACATTTTAAGCATTTATACTCTTTATATATCTAGATTTACGGCCAAATAGAGTCCAAGTAGCTCTCTACCGAAAGTACTGTATCTTTTTTTCTGCTGGTGAAAACTGTTTTGAGAAGAACCACACTGGACGCCATTGACCGCCTTTGAACTGTTGTAGAGCTGCACCTGTTGCGGTGTCGGATGCGTCAACCCCGATCGAAGTTGGTACGTCGCATTCCGGATAAGTTAACGGCGCAGCTGTAAAGAGTGTCTTTACTGCAATGGCTGGTTCTGTCCAAGTGAGTTGTTCGTTCTTGCACTTGAATCCTGTGAGAAGTTGACTGACTCCCTAGTGAAAAATCCATTTGTATGAGAAATTTCTTGCGTCCAATAAACGCATATGAATCATACTAGATATATAAGAATATATAATAATTTTATGATAACTATATATAATATATAAGAACATAAAACAACCATATAAGAAACTTACAAGACACTTCTCACAAGTTTCTTATATGGTTCTTGTATGTTTTTATATTTTTATATATCTTATATTGTTCTATATGGTTTTTATATGTTCTCATATATCTCTTATATAGCTCTTAGATGGTTTCTATATGTTCTTATGTATCTTGTATGATTCATATGTGTTTACTGGACACAGAAACTTCTCATACAAATTAAATGCTTCAATAGTGCTGGCTGTAGTATAGCCGCGCAATGTGGAATAAAACGACGATAAAAATTTATGAGCCCGAGAAACTCTTTGGGCTTGGTGGCCATGAGAGGTTGCGGAAATTTTTCGACCGCTACGATCTGTTTCGGCAATGGGCGAATACCAAGATGCTTGACTTGGTGTCCCAAAAAACGACCTCTGAGAAGCCAAACTCGCATTTTGTAGGGTAGATAACCATTCCGTACTTGCTGAGACGAATGAAAAGTTGGCGGAGGTGATGAAGGAACTATTTTTGATCAGTGCTGAAAAACAAGAATATCGCCCAAATGCGCAAAACAAGAAGAAAATCCACGAAGTAACTGGTCCATGAACCTGTGAAATGTTCATGCTGCATTTCGTAGGCCTAAAGGCATTCTTTTGTATACGAACATGCCGAAAGGCGTGATGATTGCAATTTTCGGTTACGTCGCAGGACTCGACAGGAATATGGTGGTAAGCTATCACCAGAATCAATTTCGGTGAACACTTTAGAGCCCTCAAAAGCACCTCCGAAATCCTGAAGATCTGGGATGGGATGCCGGTCCGGTACGGTGACGTTGTTTAGAGCTCTGTAGTCCCGATATGGCCTCCAATCGCCAGATTTATTTGGCACCATGTGTAGTGCTGATGAAGAAGCACTTGTTGAGGAACGCACAATGCCAAATTCGAACATCTGCTGGAACTCCCGTCGTGCGATTTTGAGTTGATCAGGAGCACGGCGTCGAGGTCCTGCGAAGACTGGTGGACAGGCTGTTTCGATGTGGTGCGTGATAGTGTGTTTAATTAATTCCGCCACGTTCAATGGCTGAAGCAGTTGACGGAATTCGTCTAGGAAAGATTTTCAGGGAACCTCTGAGACTTGTGTCAATATGGTGAGGTTCAGTGGCTCCGTCTCGGATACGATACCGTGAACGTAAAGGTGCGTTCCCCTGTCCAAGAGTACGTTGCACCTGAGATCAACGAGGAGGCAGAAATGGCGTAGAAAATCTGGTCCTAGGATGGGGTTTCGCACATCTGCCAAATAGAATACTCAGCGGAACGTCTTCCGCAGACCTAAATGCAGTGTAATCAATCACTGTCCATAGGCCTTGATGGAGAAGCCGTTGACAGCTCGTAACTGAGGTGTTTCGTCTAAACACCGTCGGCCTTCTTTCGTCGGTAGAATGACGCCGAACTCAGCGCCAGTGTCAACGAGGTATTGAAGCTCAGTAACGCGGTCAGTCACGAAGAACAGACAACTTGATCTATGGACCGCGACGCTTGCCACCGTAAGCGTCGGGCCTGCTTGTTTTCCTTGAACGTGCAGGATGATTCACATCTTCTGGCACGCGGTTGCCGAAGGTGCAGCGGTAACAGCAAGCTCCGCTGCTGCTTGCATACCTAGACCGACGTCGTTCTGGTAGACTGTTGGAAAACACACGAGACAGCGGACGACCTGTTTATAGCTGCAGTTGTTTGAGTTGTTGCGAGAGTTCCGCGACTGTCGATGTGAGTTCTCTATTAGACTCTAGCAGGTAAGGGAGAATGTCTTCTAACTGGGAGATTCGGCGTGAGGAGTTGGATTGAGCTAGTTGGCACAAGGCTGTGCTCACGTCCATCATTTGGTCCGCCATTCTAGCGAGCGTCTCGACATTCTGCTGTTGAGGTGGAGAGTATCATGCAGACTTTACTTGGCAGTGTCTGGAAAAATAATTTTCGAAGCATGTTTTCATCCAGGGCGTTGGCTTTGTCACCCAAAAAGTTGTTCCATACGACGAATCAATTTAGATGGTTTTCGGTCTCCAAGTTCTTTTAATGCCAGCAGTTGTTGCAACCGTCATTGCTCGGACTGCGTTGTGCGCCGTATAAGTTCGGTCTTGAGCGTTTCATATGGCGTATTGTGTGGAGGGTCACGTATTATGTCTCGGATGACGGCAGCCGTTTTCTGCGGGAGGGAACTTTGATTGCTGGGAGGTTATCTTAGTTTATTTTAATTGACGACTCGATGGTCAGGGACCAAAGTTCCAAATCCGACGTCCGAAATTCTGGCAACTTGAAATTGCTCGAAGCAAGGTCGGTAGTTGTTGAGCTGGATTTTGACCGGAACATTGTTGAGTGATGGGTTTCCGAGAAAGCGAACGTCAAAAAGCGAAAGGAGCTGGCCCTTGCCTTGACGAATGAGAAGGCATCCAAGTCCGAGGTACCCGGGTCACCAATTTGTTGGTTGCTTAGGGTCAGTAAGGAGTCGTACATTCAAAATTAAAATAAATTTACATATTTACAGAAACTAATACTGGAGCATGTTTTTCGGGCAGTTGAGCGGTTCGGATCCTGACGATGTCTCGTGCCGTGCCTCGTCTCGTGCATCTCACGTCTGTATACGAACTGCTTCTTCTTCTTCAGCTGAGTTCCTAGAAGTCTATATACCAAGTGGACCTATAATTAAAAATGTGCAGATGACTAAACTGTACACTAATTGAATCGATTAAAGGTTACGAAGCCGCTGAAGGCAGGCGAGTCTAAATATGCAATTCTTTATTTTCAAATGGCAATGGTTGGAGGTACAAACACTAATCATGTATAGATTTAATGTAAACAAAAATCAAATAAATTAGTCGATACTCTTTTAATATTTATTTTTTAAAGGAACACGTGAGAAAAAATGCGCAGCAACCAGATGTGTGAATGGTTTTCTTTGCAGGACGACACGAACCTTTCGTGGAACTACGGACGATCATTTTTGCTCAGCATCTGGGTGTGGTGCCTCGTGCAAGCTGCGGTCAGCCAGGCACTGTTGCAGGGAAATCCGCGGGTGAGTCAGCGCATGCTGATAACTTCGGGAGGCTACGGTCTCACGTGCTCATTTGGAATACTGTAAGCTACTTAATTTTCGCGAGGACCTAATTTTCGCGAATTTCGCGAATCGCCTACAATTCGCGAAAAATAGGTCCCGCGAACAATTCCGGTAAATTGTAAATACATTGGAATCTATACTGAGATCCCACTGCGTCGCAAAATTAGAACCCGCGAATTATTCAAAAACTTCAGCTTTGACCTAAATCGCGAAATTTTGAGCCTGCGAAAAATAAGTCGTTTACAGTATACGGGAGTTTTGGATTTTACAGGCTCAAACAAATTATAGCAAGTAGTTAGTTAAATACCGCACAATCAATATCACCATGCAGAAATGAAGTATGACCTTGACGACACTATAGAACAAAATTAAGCATTTGAAATAGGAAGCTGTCTCCCAGATAATATTGTATATGTAACTAATTTAAACAATATATTGTTGTCAAAAAGTGAATGCAACACTAAAAAGTGGGCACGTGATCCACCGCTCCAACGGGTGCAACAAAAATTTCGTCTGCATCGAAGCAGGTTCTGCTTCCAACTGCCTCTTCCGAGTAGGGCGACCTGTGCGCGCGTCGTCCAAAAACACAGCCAGTGTAACAAAAACGTTATCGGAGCAGAGGGAAGGTACATTAGGTCGGGTTAAACAAATACCACTTAAAGAAAAACTGAACCGGTTAAAAAAAAAAGTTAATGCTTCTTTTCGGGGCAGTTTTTCCAGACGATTCTGAATATATCACCACCATTTGTCATCAAAACGACACTAAATATGAAATAAAAATCGAAAAACATGCAGCCGCTTGCTGCCGCCGAACGTCATTTGTTCGTCGAGACGTGACGTCTTAGGATAATCAAATTCCAACTTTCGCAAAACGATCAACTGGCAATCCTTACCTCGTTTCGTCTCCGCTTCGCGTAAGCTCCTCGGTTGCACTGAGGTTCCTGTCTCTTTTGTAGAAGGGTGCTCGGAACTGGTGGACTATTGACCACTTACTGCAGATAAACCTCCTCTTCCATAACCATTAGTAAGGAGATATGATTGTGGAAGAACAGGTTTATCTTCAGTAAATGGTTGCTAATCTGGCAGAAAATTATTTTAACGCTACCCCGTGATGTAATTGGCCTAAGCCGTTTTGGAGCACCTTTCGAAGCAGCCCAAACAGCGTTTTGGAGCAGAACAAGTGGCTTTTGAAGCATCCAAAACAATGTTTTGCAGCAGTAAACGTGGCTTTTGGAGCAGCCAAGACAGTGCTTCTCAAGAGCAAAAAGTGGCTTTTGGAGCAGATATTCTTAGAAAAATAAAAAATAAAATATTTGTTTTAAGCGCTCGACAAATGAAGAACACTTTGCTCGCCCCAATCAACAAATTATGGTCAAATTAGATCACCTTGGAGTCTTTCAATATGTAAACGGAAATGCCAATGACATGACACATTTTGCAATGCCTCAGTTAAATGATACATACAGGGTGTTTTTTTAGCTGCACCAAATTCAAAAAAAGGGAACGTGAGATAGAGCAATTTGAGCCCTGGGGAAGTGTTAGTGACTCTAGAAAAAAGGTGACATCAGGTCATTAGTTAGCTAATTAACTAAAATGTTTTAACTAACTTTTTAATTTTTCACTTGAGGGCACATAATGTATTTAGAAGATGGAAGACCAACCACAGTATGGTCCCGCCGTGTCGTCACATTCCGATAAAAAATTCCTAGTAGGCGCTACGGTGTCGAGAAAGGTCACTTTGGTAAATGGCGTCAAACCGAAACTAAACAGGGAAGATCGCCGGTATAGTTATCGCTCCGCCCTTCCGGGCACGCGATTCGTCATTAGGGAGTTGTAGTAGATCGTTTCTCTCCTCCGCTACGTTATCCCCGAAGAAAACGCCGCAGCTGCGCAGGCGCGCCGCCAGCCTTCTCTGCATAGTTCAAGGTCTCGTGGCGGATTACGGAGCGCTATCCGGGTGCTTAGCGGGCTGCGGGAACGGTCTACTACAATTCCCTATTATCGCGGCCGGCTCCACTTGCTTAGGCGAGCCGGCCGCGATAATGACGCATCCGATGCCGAGAAGGGCGGAGCGGTAATTTTACCGGCGCCCTTTCCTGCTTAGTTTCAGTTTGACGCCAGTTACCAAAGTGACATTTCTCGACACCGTAGCGCCTATTAGGAATTTTTTTATCCAAGTTGGACGACACGGCTATACTTCGTTTCAGCTTCGGTCCGAGCGCGGCCGATGTTATGAGCCGAAGGGCCAATCAAACAGCGCAAAAAGCAGCGCGTCATGGCGTGCTCTCTGCGCTTGATAGGACTAGCCGGCGGAGGAGCACGCAGAGAGAGAGAGAGCGAATACCGGCTGGTCCTATCAACTGCAGAGAGCACGCCATGACGTTGTGCCTCTTTCGCTGTTTGATTGGCCCTTCGGCTCATAACATCGGCCGCGCTCGGACCGAAGCTGAAACGAAGTATAGACCATACCGTGGTCGATCTTCAATCCTCTGAATACATTATGTGCCCTCAAGTGAAAAATTAAAAACAAATAGTTAAAACATTTTAGTTAATTAGCTAACTAATGACCTGATGTCACCTTTTTTCTAGAGGCCGCCATGGCCACTAACACTTCCCTAGGGCTCAAATTACTCTATCTCACGTTCCCTTTTTCTAAAAATTTGGTGCTGCAAAAAAAAACAAAAAAAAACATCCTGTATGTATACACACTATAGATAAATAAGAACCAAATTGAACATATTAAATTTATTTCAAGATGACCAGCTTATCAGTAAATATCAAAGCGTAAAATTGACTAATCATTTAATATAATAAATTGAAGCAGTCTCCGAGTGATGGAACATGTGTAACTACTTTAGTGCAATGCGAAACTGTGCACAGGAAAAAGGTGCAGTACAACTAGCTGGTGATTTTCCTTTTGCTTTTCGAAACTTCCTGCAAGGCTGCTGCGAGCCTCGCTTAGCCTTCGACAAGTAATGAACGTCTACTTCAATGTCTGCAAAGAGACATTGAGACATTCCACAAGTGTACCGTGCTGTAGGCGTTCCCGAGCAATTCCAAAATACCGCTTGCCACCGTTTTACTGATTACTGACGAGCCAGATTTTCGTCAAAAGCAAGCAAACGTAAAGCAATGGATTTGCAAGCGTCCCGGCTGGTGCCTCTGTCGTGCAATCATGTTTCCATGCACGTGAGGGCAAATTCAGCAGCTTGCAGTTGCACGCCCTTCGTTGTGCGAGCGGAGACGGCTGTTCGATCGAAACCAAAACCATGCCTCTCCGCTCCGCCGCCAAGAGGTTCCCAAAATTGTGTGCAAAATGTAACGGTCCAGCATACGACTAAAAACAGTCCAGCGGCGCGCGCTTGCCAGGCCGGCAGGTAAGGTACAAGCTAAACACACACAAAAAAAGAACCTGAGCGCATCGACGCAAGACATTGCGAGTCAGGGTCAAAAAGTTCTTGGAGCGCTTTGTGCTATGACTGAACTTGAGACAAACAAGTACGCTGTGCGGGTTCAGCGTGCAGACATTGCCTTTTTTGCTTTAGCTCACTTCTCTTCACCAACTTTCTTTCGAGGCAAACTTTTCACGCACCAGGGTCCCTCTCAAAAGAAAGTCCACCGAGAGAAACCTAGGCAATAAATACTTCGACACAGCAGCCTTTGAGTTAAAGAGGGATTTTTGTAGTAGCATATGATTTAAACAAGAAGAGGAATGTTGATGACCTTGCGGCAGTCCTTACGTTTCAGTTTAGAAAGCGCCATATCTGCAGCGACGTGGGGATGGCATCACCCGGCCGACGTCATGCAACCACGATGACTGGTAGGCAGGGACCAAATATGGTCTTCCCATGGCCGTTGCTTTCAGGAGCGAGTGCTTCAGCTCACAAAGTAACTCCCGCCGCGCAAAAACGTTGTTTCATTTCACAACACGACGGCATGGCTGCGTACCCGGCACGCTGGCGTCGGAGCGACCGCACACGCTTGCATCTATCCTTACAAAATAAAAAAAAAAAAGACGCGAGACGAGACTTACGAGAGCGTGAAATGAGCGACGGCGGGAAAAACCATGCAGGACCAGATGGACGATTGATGCAAGGTATTTCGTGTCGGGCGGCTGCTTGCGGCACCTAGCTCACGGTACTCAGTTTAGTTTGGGTTTTGCAAGGCGACCGAAATCGGTCCTTTGGCGCAGGCTTGGCGCCGATTACCGATATGTCGGCAGAATGTATCAGGATGTATCAGGGTTAGCCCCTTGGCGCATTTTGGCGCAAATGGCGCAGCAATCACATCACCGCGCATTTTGTCCACCCGTCCGTTTGTCCGTCCGTCCGTTCGTGTATTTTCCGCCAAATTTATCAGGAAAAGTGGCATCACGCGACGTCATGTGCAGTCACATGACATATACACCTTGGGGAAATTGAAGGTGTGTGACCTATACGTGAACTCAGTTTCTCCGATAAATTTAGCGGGAAAATTCACGTCTTGTGGCCAAAACACTCATTCAGTTTCTCCGCTAAGTTCAGCGGAGAAAATTGACTTCACGGGACCTTACGTCACGTCAACCTACACAACTAGTCAGTTTCCCCGCTAAACTTAGCGGGGAAATATACGTCACGTGACAAAACAATTCCCTCATCGATCCCGTATGATCCATTTGCTACATTATAGAACTTCAAAGGTAAAGGTCGCTGCCTTTTTTTTTTTGCACTCTCCGTGTGTTTTTCAACGTTCAGCTGGCATCTTTCACGAGCACGAATCACCAGCTAACTCATCTTCACGCAGTCGCAGCAAGTACCGACTACCGACAACGCGCGACGCTGGCCGAGGACCACGCGCGAGAATGCTCTTCTCTCCAGCTGCCGCGGAAGGTGTGTGTGTGTGTGTGGGGTGGGGGGGGGGGGGGGGGGGGCTCAGTTAAAACGCAACTTCGTATGCGTTTCTTAAGGTAATACGAGTGATACGAGCATAAAATACCCTGCTTTCTGTGATATTCGTAATGCTTGCAGTCGGATTAAGGACAATCGAGCGTTTTTAATAAAATCCCAAACAGGTTCACCTCCCCTTTAGAAGGTTTTCATACGGCGTATGCTTTTCGGGGAAGGGTCTGTGTGACGTCAGTGTTAGAAGTTACTGCCGTCGCTGTGGTGGCATGCTGCTGTTGCCTCACCTGGCATCCAGCGGAAGGACACTGAGCTGTAGTACGGCTGACCCGTGCGACGTGCACTTTAGACGGCATCAAGAAACGGCCCACAGGGCATACGTGTGTCTAAATTTCTACGACCGGACATTTCATCGAACGCAGTTTCATCGAATGCCGTTTCATCGAACGCCGTTACATCGAACACCATTTCATCGAACGCAGTTTCATGGGATGGTTTACTCAAAACAAAATCGATTCCACAACCGAAATTACCTATCTTTATTTTGACTGCCTGAATCCCGGAACTAAGGAGGTAGATTTCATTGTGCTTTCGTAGATAACGACAAATGCTTAAAAAGCCAAACACAGCCGCAACTGTGCAATAATGATCACACGTGGCATTTACCCTACCCTCTCGGTTGCAAAGTGCAATACACTTCTGATTTCTAATTTGCCGCTTTCATCCATTTCGATTCCGTGTTTGGAAAGTTGACAACATTATATCTGGTTTCCAAGTTGACAGAGGCTTACGTTCCAAACCTTACGAAGTAAAGTTTTGAAGACTAAACTTGTTTTCTGTAGTCTCGGGCTTTCCAGCATGAATGACTACAAGCTCGCCCGCCCAATACTTTTTTTTCTCCAAGGTAGTGTCCTGTTACGAAAGCAACAACCCATCTTACCTGCGTCAAAGCTACGCGCTCTCAGCGGGAAGCACTGAGCTTGGGGAATCGGTGGCCGAGTATGTTAAGCGTGAAAAACATGCGAGCAAAAATCGAACCGCAACCATGACAACCGTTGCTGTCCTTGGTGGTTTCCATAGTTACGCCGCACGGTGCTGCAACGCGATGCATTTTGTACTTACATGTGTTTCACGCTTGAGCGCAGCACTGCTCTGAGCTCATGGAGCGAAAGCTCACGCTACAGAACCCAGGGATCCTGGGTTCCGATCGAGGTGAGCATCGTACCGGCGTGCGGTCGTGTATCACTACTGCGAGGTGCACGTTAAAGACCCCAGGCTAGCGGTTGTACTGCACTGGCTAAATTGCTCATCTACAGCTGGGAGACTCATCGCCCGTCGAGGCAGACCAAGTTCTAGGCTGTATAAACACACAACCTAATTATTATTTATCCCCATCTCTGCCCGCTTCGATCTGGATGAGCATCGCACCGGCGTGTGCGGTCGTGTATCACTAGTGCGTGGTGCACGTTAAAGACCCCAGGCTAGCGGTTGTACTGCACTGGCTAAATTGCTCATCTACAGCTGGGAGACTCACCGCCCGTCGAGGCCGACCAAGTTCTAGGCTGTATAAACACACAACCTAAATATTATTTATCCCCATCTCTGCCCGCTTCGATCTGGATGAGCATCGCACCGGCGTGCGCGGTCGTGTATCACTAGTGCGTGGTGCACGTTAAAGACCCCAGGCTAGCGGTTGTACTGCACTGGCTAAATTGCTCATCTACAGCTGGGAGACTCACCGCCCGTCGAGGCCGACCAAGTTCTAGGCTGTATAAACACACAACCTAATTATTATTTATCCCCATCTCTGCCCGCTTCGATCTGGATGAGCATCGCACCGGCGTGCGCGGTCGTGTATCACTAGTGCGTGGCGCACGTTAAAGACCCCCCGCTAGCAGTGGCATCGCACTGACTAAATTTATTATGTACAGCGTAAACCAGTGTCGCATCCGAAACCAGCTTAAGCTCCCCATAACCAAACAGCAAATCTTAACGCACGCATAATGCACCCATGACGAATTCTGCGTTCCCCGGGTCTACCAGAGTGATCAAGACACGTTTAAAATTTTGGTTCGGATTAGTGTATCGGCGCGTCGGCACTCCAAGTCGCCAGTTGATCAAACTGGACAGAAACTGCGAAAACCGTGCCGCGAGAGACTGAGGACACGACGAGATTATGCTAACGCTCTAAACTGGAACTCCAATGACCCTTGAAGTTAAAGCAAGGAGGCAGGCGGGCTGATTAAAGGAGCTGCGCAACGGTTTTAACGTTGAAAGAATTGGCATCTTTTACTTTTGACATTGTTCACCTTGTCACAAATGACAGAAAACACACTTCCTTTCATCGAAATGTTGCGAGTCCGCCGCGAAATAGCGAGGCAAAAATGAGAACATTCCCCGACCTGAAGCCGCGAGCGGCGGCCATGAGAAACACGCGGCTAGACGTCAATGGGGAGTCTTGTAGAAAGATAGCAAGTTGTGCGAATACCTGCTCGGTAAAAGGAAACTTTTCTATAAACCTTGCCGTTCCAACACAAAATATAAATGCGTCAAAAACCTGGTATCATTGAAAAAACTTTTATTATACGGAGTTTTAGTGGCGCCATCTATCCTAGGTCCACAAAACCGTCAGCTATCTGCTACCGCGGACAGGGCCGGACGGGTATGGCCGGACCCGGATGAGACTTTCCATCTTTCACCATATCGTTCGCGCTGCGCCCACCAGCACGTGGTCACGCGGTCGCGAGCGGATGAGTTCTCGCTGCCCACTGATGGCTCTAGAGAGAGAACTTTACCGGAACCCTGCGCCTGCCCCATCGACGTCACTGCGCATGTGACCCGGAATACGATGTACAAGTTGAGAGGTGGCAAAAACCTAGATTTTTTTTCATTTTTTTTAAATAAAACCTAAGGGTATCCAGGCAAAATTTGTTTTCTGTAGTTCACTTTAGAAGTGTCAGGCATCAACTTATACAATTATTTAAGCAAAGCCCTGAAATTGTTGCACAGCTCTTTTAAGGATAGATAGGGTAACTCTGGAGCAAGGGGACAAAGAAAGACGGACAGACACGAAACGTCCTTTTTTTCATCTCGCTCCAGGGTTACCATGTATATATCCAATGACTTGTTGTTACCCAGAATGCACTGCGTTGCACCTCGCCGCCAGCGTCGCTTCGATCTTCAAAGAAGGTATATTGCGGGCGGTTCATTGCAGCTGCGGGCCCGCCTCTACCCGGTCTTCTCCGCCCTGGCATTGGCTTGGACGGTGTGCTGGGAATGCGTGTTCCTCGTTTTCGCTGTTTACGTCACCTTCTTTCTGCTGGCGGGCCTCAGGATCCGCATCGTCTGCTACATGGTCAGCCTCTTGGCGCTCGTCTATTCCTTCTTCACGCGCAAGTTGGATCCAATGCTGGTGAGTACCCACGACCCATCCTCGATACTACAGTGTGCTTGGCATAGTTGCATAGTTGATAGCGCACGCGGTTCCCACGCCGAGGAATAGGGTTCTAACACCGCTCGGCCCAAAGTTTCCTCTTTTGCAATTTTTGTTTTTCCTGGAAGCTTCCAGTACATTCTTGGCTGCCATTGTGCGTCTTGGCTCCGAATCTTCTTGAACGTACTGTGTGCAAAAGAAAAGCGGCAACGTCCTGCTTCGGGACCATCCGCATTCCACCGCCGATGCAAGAAGCCTAGATTATTGTTATCTTTCAGCTTGTAGGCAAACTACGGCTCATTAAAGGTTAAACATTCTCTCGAACTATCCGGGATTCAAACATTACGGTGTGTGGCGCCTTTAGCACACGTTAGGGTGTGCTAAAGGCGCTGTCACACTGAGGAGATATTTCTACAACTTCATATGTAAGCAAGAGGCAACGCTATTTCATGAAACCAGTTGCGGACCTCACGCGGAGAAGCGAACCCACCCTCTCCCACCAAAGGCCACTACCCGTTGTTAGAAGCGCCATCTAGGGGCTGTGATTCAGAACTTGTGTATTTTATAAAGTTCACTGTATCTATTTTAACAGCCATCTCCCAAACAATGTCGCTTCGAATGACGGGAAGCGAAGCTTTCGAGGAGATTGTTATGAGGGGCACTGGTCGTAGATGCAAAGTCTATGGGAAGTTCCACAACTGAGTTGCCCTATACTCGGAGACAACTTTTTCTGGCAATGGAGAGAACGCTAGGGAGGTGGAAAGGCAGGCTGAACAAACGGCTCTGCGTTACAGCGCCTAGTAGCTCCGGTCTTTTTTCTTTCTTTTTCTTCAGTTTCACTTTAAGTTATGGTATCCAGTCGCTGCAGTTCCGTCTTTTCGTATGAGAATCGCGGTTGTGGGTGCTGAAGCGCGACAGCCGAACATGCAGGCATATCCGCGTCTCTTTCCCAAAAGTTCACTCCCTTTAAAACAAAAGACAGCCCTTTGACTGGAGAACTAAGACTGACTAAAACGGTCAGTTTTAACCTTGTCAATCTCCTCTAATATTATTTGTTTAGCGAACCATGCATATATTTCATTTCATTTCAATTTATTCACCTGAAAGCTGTCCGAACAACGCATTACATGTGGGGAGATTCAAAACAAGTGACAGATGTTTAAAAAAAAAAAACAGGATAGCAAAACACGGAAAAGTGAAATGTGATTGCGGATGCACCCAATGCCGTCAATCAAAGCGAAATAAAGAAAGAATAAAGCACGAACAGAGGTACAAAAGCTATTGTACAAAAACAAAATCAATGTGAGTAATTATAAAATAGTGAACTCTGGTCTCTAAATGTAATGGTATTGCTGTCAGTAAAAGTATGACCAGGTAATGCATTCCAGTCTCTGATGCAAAGTACTAAGGGGGAGAACAGGAAAGTGTTAGTGCGACCCAAGAATGGCTCTAGTTTCCAAGAACGATCTAATCTTGGCGATGTAAGACTACTGGCAGGGCGGCAATAAACTGATTTTTTAAAAGGCGAATCGCTGTAATAGATGCTATGAAAAAAACACAGCCGAGTTATTTTACGTCTTTGTTCTAGAGGAGAGAGATTATTGCGAGATTTTAAGGCCGAGACATCAGTTTCCGGTGAGTAGTTGTTGCATATAAATCTTGCTGCTTTGTTTTAGACAGATTCTAGTTTTTGTATAAGGTACGTTTGGTGGGGTTCCAAATGGTGCATGCATATTCTAATTTGTGAAGGACTATTGTCTTGTATGCGAGAGATATGCAGCGTGGATGTAAGAACTGCCGTGAAATTCATCAGCGCATTAGTGTTTTGATCGAAACAAAAGCAGGCACACGCCACGGCGCAAAGTCAAATTGCACCACAACTCGGAGCACGTATAGCGAAACTCGCGCTGCCGAACCCATGGACCCTGGGCTCAATCCCGACCCCTGCTCGTTTACGCTGGCAAGCTCGCTAACTAACCGCGATAAGAAAACGATACACCCTAAAAAAGAGGAGGACTATTTCAGGTAGAAGGTTTAAAAGCGCGAACAGACAGGGACGATAGGAAATAACGACAGGGACAGGTGCTACTCTCGACTGATTTATTGCAAGACCGATGATGACTAGAAAAGAGAAAGATATGTGCTCCAAGAAGCAGGCAAGCTAATATGCTGACTGTGTCACTAACGTCATCTATGAGATACTGCTTAGTTGCGGGAAAGTTTATATAATAGAAACATGACGCTGTTTCAAAGGCAGGGTACGAGAGCACAAACTATCTGTACGCAACAATTCGAGGGCTCATCTGTCTGAGCATTGCAAGCGTTGTGGCTGCGAACCGCATTTAGAGTCAACAACGTTCTCGAAAAAAGCGAAAGAAAAAAAAGTGAAAGCCGTTTACAAATCCCTGTAACGCCGAATTGGAGCGCAGCTCTTGAGGAGGAGGAGTGAAGGGTACTGAGGGGAGGGTAGACCCCTCCCCCTTCTCCTCCTCCTCCCCTCATTCTTTAATATGCTCCGGGGGGGGGGTCACGTGACCTCGGGGGGGGGGGGGGGGGGGTGTCACGTGACTTCGGGGAGGGGGTCACGTGACCTCGGGGAGGCGTGACCTGGGGGTCACCTCAAGGTCACGTGACCTTGGGGGTCACGTGACCTGGAGGGGTCACGTCACCTCAGAAGGTCACGTGACCTGGGGGGTCACGTGGGGGTCACCTTGGGGTCACGTGACCTTGAGATGACCTTGGAAGGGGTCACTTGACCTCGGGGGTCACGTGACCTTGGGGAGGAGACCACGTGACCTCAGAGGGGTCACGTGACTTGGGGCTCACGTGACCTTCAAAGGGTCACGTGGGGTCATCTTGGGGTCACGTGACCTTGAGATGACCTTGGAAGGGGTCAAGTGACCTCGAGGGGTCACGTGACCTTGGGGGTCACGTGATCCCAAGATGACCCCACGTGACCCCCAAGGGCACGTGACCTTCAGGGGGTCACGTGACCTTGAGATGACCTTTTGAGGGGTCACGTGACCTTGGGATGACCTTGGTTACGCCGACGGCGACGGCGACGCCAACGGCGACGGCGACGCCGCTCAAGCCGGGAACGGGCCCCTAAGAGCTGCGCTCTAAAACAGAGCGGGGGACTATAGAGGCTTTCTTTATTAAAAGGAAGAATGACAAGTGCGTTAGCGCGCCATCTGTTAGCCTACTAGATAAAGAAGTGGCTTATCTAAATGGGTGTCTCTAATGTGTTTATTGGCTGTTAGCGTTGTTTGATATGTAAAGGGAAGATGAGTTGTGCTATAAGCGTTGAACGGTCTTGCAGTCAATCAGTTGAAAGTGGCGCCTGTCCCTGTTTGTGTTATTTCCTATCGTCCCTGTCTCTTTGCACCTTTAAACCTTATCCCTAAAATAGACCAACTAGCCCAAACTAAAGTTTAAAGAGCAGTATTTCCTGCTTTAAAGGAGAACCTCACGTGTGCCATATATCAATGTAGAAAGGGAGGAAAGTTCCTCCTACAAAACGGTTGGAAATTTGCTCCCTTAAGAAAGGAAAAAAGTGGACACCTATTTTTACGTGTGGAGAAAGTTGCTCCCCTAATAAGGGAGGAAAATTCACACCCTTTTCTTGCCAATGCAGGAAAATTTCTCCCCTTGTGTAAATGATATAGTTTCCCCCAAATAACGCTCAAAACGGGGGAAAAAAACAACGGGAGAGGAGTTAATGTTTGTTGCTTTCCCCCGCCTTTCAAACGCTATATGTGGGAAGTTGGCACTATCTCTATATATGGCGGACATATTTTTGAATCCGACTTGGCCGGTGACTGCCATCATTTGTCGCATAAACACGAAGAGGCGGAGCAAATATTACTCGTACTGAATACTTATTTTGTATTGCGTCCTGAAATAGCTCCCATCTCTAATTAACAAGCCGAAAAAAGCAAACCTAAGTCATTAGGCTAATTAACTAAAATGTAATAATTATATTTGTAATAATAGTTTGATGAACTATGTTGACAATGGAGTGTTGAAACACACTACATTAGTGCTGAAAATTTCTCAACCAAGTTGTTTTTTTGCAATATTCAGCACCAGTGTAAGCTATAGTCAGGTGCTGGGTAATCATTAATTTTAAATGTTGCAAAAGTATTTCAGTGGATTTCCCAAACAAGCAATATTACTTGTTTTAACAAGATTAGTTGCCGCGGCAGTGAACAAATCTTAGGTCCCAACATTGTAAAACCCGAGGCGTAAGACAGAAGAAGAAAAAAGGGACAACACAGACACCCCTTTTTTTCTTATTTTGTCCTACGTCTCGGGTTTTACAATGTTGAAAGTTCACCAGCTCGCTTACATCTTCACTGTAATTTCTATAAATCTTAGGTCATGCTTTGTCACCGGTATTAAAGAAATTTAATATTGTTCTAATTTTCTACCTGGAGCGTTTTCTTTAGAAAACGTAGATGCCGGGAGTGATGAGGACAAACGAACCATGAACTTCGTACCGCATTAGACAAGTAAAGTGAGACTATCTTTCGTGATATATTGTAACATCTTGAAAACATCACGTAACCCCAAGTCAGAAAGTTAAAGCGCCCGTGTTGAGAGTTCTAGTAAATCGTTTACTCACTCCCGCAACTCTATACGCAATCCGCTATGACCTCCGCGGTATGTACACTGGCAGAGCCGTGTTTTCATGTTTTAGTAGAATGTTTTCAACCCGGTGCAAATATATAAAGTTACGAAAGCTAACGCAACGCCAATAGCAACTCTTTCGGACACTAAAGCTAAGATGTAAAATAAAGGTTTGAAGAGCAGTTGTTAGTAACCTTCTATTCACGCGTCACTATCTAAACATAATTCCATTTTCTATCAAAGTAATTATGTGATGACACTGACTCCCTCGTAGGTGTTTATCTTTTTCGTTCGCTCTTTGCTCTGATATTAGGAGTCACGTGACTTCTGGGGGGGGGGGGGGGGTGTCACCCCGGGGGGGCTCGCGCGGTGCATTATGGGATATTTCCCATAATGCACCACGCGGTTACGCCGACGGCGACGGCGACGCCGCTCAAGCCGGAAACGGGCCCCTAAGAGCTGCGCTCTAAAAAACGTAAGCTGGTTATTCGATTTTATACATACATGTCTTTACTCAAACTTCAGGCGAGCCGGCAATAGACAAGTACACCTGGTGGTGTCAAACATGGCCCCGATAGATTCCATGGGTGACTCCAAAAAGAAATGAGCGGAATGAGCATGGGTCTACGCGGCCCGAATACGTTCCCCGTCGTACTTACTGAGTGCTGTCGTCGGCGGAGCAACTCGCCAAACTTGTGAATTTCACCAATACCAAAAACGACGCCAATGACTAAGCGTTCCCACGTAAACCAATGAGGAAGTGGGAGACGCGGATGATCAGTTCGGCGCAACAGAATTCACGGGAACTGAAAAGGTGTTTCCTAAACCCACCATACGCGGCGAAAGTTTTTTTTTTTTTTTTTTTTTTAATGGGAATTAAAATGTCGCTTTTCACTAAAAACGAACAGGTTTTGCTGTTGTTTTTAGTTTTTACTGATTGGCAACTATCCTATTGCAGCTCGTGGAAAAGCGGCGTGGAGACATGGAGTATTTTCTGACATCAATTACTGTCCCCTGGACTGTGCTGCGGTGCCTGAGTTTCAGCGTGGATTTCGCCACAGACCCGGAGTCTTCCAAGCGCAGGTTTCCGGACTTCTGGATGAGCCTGGCCTACGTCTTCTACCTGCCATCCGTGTGTCTGGGGCCACTCATGAACTACGACAACTTCGTCGCTCAGGTAGGATGCGTGAGATCTGGCGATATTGAAGGGGCGGTGCAACAATGTTTGTTACTTCCCGTAAATGCCATTTCTTACTCCTTGACGTTCGCAGCCTCTTAAACACGCGTTAGAAATCGTTATACAATGGCAGTCCCAGAAAAAAAATGAGAAAGAAACACATAGTTTTCAGCTACTCAACTCGCAGCCAGCGCAAGCGGCCACGTGACCTGACGACGATTATATGCCGCCAACGTTGATCATATCCACGCACTGGGACTGTCAAAACACAGGGCACGCGCTGAGTACCACACATTGGAGAGTTTTAGAATAGGGGCCCCTATGATCGCGGACTCCTAAACCATAGGGGGCAAGAGCGGAGCGATACTCGCGCCACCGGCTTATAGAATAGGGTTTTCAAAACACAGCGGGGCATGCTTGCGCCAGTACGACTAACAAGCGAAATAATGAAACGATCAATATAAGCACATAATATATTGGTGCTTAACAAGCACTTTTTGTTGCTCGCGTCACAGATAAAGGGTAAGGTAAAGCCAAATCTGTCCGTTTTTGAAAAATCACTAAATGTTTCAAGTCCAGACAAAATCTATACGATTGCGACTTTTTCCTTTACACGAAAGCATGTCAATGGAATCCTTTACATCACAGCGCTACAGTCGCTAGAAGGGGAGGTGTCAGAATAGCGCAGCTTGCTCCGTGTGCGGCGGCGCGCTATTCTATTATGACGACGTTAGGTGGTGCGCTCATCATTTTGAGATGGCAGTTGCAGACGCCGCCCCAGGAAAGACTTGCTCGTGACGACAGAAGTGCTTGTTTGTAGACTTTTTCGGGGAAAAGTTGCCCCATGTGTCCAAATTACCGGGTTAGGAAAACGGCAAAAACACAGCTTTGTCCGCGGATGCAGCACGGGATACGTTTCCACGAGAAAGAAAGAGAAGAAAGCCTCCCTTTTCGCCGTTCCCGACGACGACGAGAAAAGCGTCGGCAGGTTCATTCTTGTGTTACGTGAACCAGAAGAAGAGTATCACAAGTCAACAATGAACAAAGTTTAACTTTCAAAAGTATTTTAAGCAGCGCGTATGGCGCAGCGATAGTTACTCCCGGAGGAAGAAAGCACTCGCATTGCAGCAGCGCAACCGCTGCATTCTCATTGGCTGCTCCTTCTCTAGCTCACCAATTCTGACAGTTGCTATTTTAGCCACCGTACACTCGTTGTGCATGTCATTAACGGTCAGACTGGCGTTACTAAATAAGCTCGCTTCAGAGTAATGACACTTCCCATCGCGGTGCTTAGAATCGTGGTTGCCAGTTATCTTAAGCTTTATCTGAAATGACAGAAAACGCTTTTTCGTCCTCCACAAATTTTTCAACAGTTCGCGACAGAGCAAACGAATATTACATGAGCTTTCTAACACAAAATTTAAAGCTCAGGAAGTCGTGCTTTTGAATCCTGACGATCGGTGGTTGCGTCTGCTCTGTACTAAGCGCCAAGATGACGGCGCCCACAACAATATCCGGGAACAGACTGCCAATACCACTAATCTCTATTGTAGTAGGCTGGATCGCGGACCGCGGCCTCGGCAGCTGGGGCCGAGTGTCGCCACCGGCGTTTATTGATTGACACCATTAAATGCATGGGACTCTATGGAAAACATCCGGGAAAGTGGACTTTATTTAATTCGTAGAAGGCTTTCGACGATTAAACCTTCATGGTGTTTTCTAATAATCGTGAGAACTATCTTGCGATGTTTGGTTAAAAGTTCCAAAGCTGTGAAAGTTTAGAGAAATCACTTTTATAACCTCAGTCGTGTTATGGTGTCGGTGTTAGCTGGAGGAGCCAGCCTGAGCGGCTAAAAGATTTGCTCAGTTTTGGTGTCGCGTTCGCTCGGTTTACCCCGTCAACCAATGTCCTGTTCTGCAATTTTACTTCTAAAGTGCATCGTTCTCTTTCGCTAAGCTACTGGTGGAGAACTCTAACCTTCAATTGTGACAACTTCTTGCCGATGACTGCTCCTTTGTCGTTTTCAGTTGCCTTTTTTGCAAGGTGGTGGAACCTGATTTTTAAGTAGCATTCAACGATCCATTTGATCAGCTTGCTGACGTGATCATCTAAGATCGATGAGTCGAGCTGATGCTCCTACAGCGATGGGAACAAGTTCATGTTGCCTATTGTAATGTCGTATAGGACAGCATTCGTAATGGTCAGTGACAACTTGTGACCCTTGGGCAGGTGTCCTCTCCTTGCAGCAGGCATCCTTGTGATGCACTTCTTTGTTTGTGAGCATAGGTGACGACACTGTTTGAGGGTAAAGGCCCGTTCACACTCTTGCGACCGAGTACGACTGAGAGAGACGAGATCTCTTACAACTTCTTAAATGTTTCTAGAATGAGGGAACACACTGACATTGTGGCGCCATCTATGCGGTGACCCTAGAACTGCATTTCACAAAAGCGAAGGTTTTGCGGGATTTCCGAGGTCAAATGTGCGTAATACCCATAGAAAGGCTCGTTTATAACATTGACAAAAGTTTTTCGAGCCAAAAAAGAAAGGATATTGCGCGAGAAATAAAAAAAAAATATGCCGGACCGCCGAGTTTACACTGCTTCCCAATAGATGGCGCCAGTGTGTTCTCTGGTTTAAGAAGTTTTAAGGAACCCAGGTTTAAGAGGTCGCAAGCAGTCGCAAGAGTGTGAACGGGCCTTAAGACTAAACCTCCACGGTTTTTTTTTGTCTGAGGAGTGTTGACATCTTGGCACTTGGGTCCACTTGTGTCTTCCTGTGCTTCAACGCAATCAGGATAGTTGGTTTTCTTTTGTACCATCATAAACACATAACCCGAGATGTAGTACAGAGCGTTTTCGACATACAAAGAGTGACTCGATTCTTGGTACGCTGTCATAGTCATGGTCGTTGTCGGCTCGTGGGGGTAGCTGGTAAACCAGGTTGAGTCTCCTTGCCTCGTGAAAGCCCAGCTCATCCATATTTCCTGTCAGCTGCCTGCTCGCTGTCACTGCCATGAGGACGGTGTTATCTTGGCTCTTGCAGTCTCCCGCTGTGCCAGCCTCAATCTCGTGATGGACAAATGTCCGTTTGTAGGTCGACTTGAAGTGCCCTGCGGTGGGGTTGTTGTTCCACCCCCCTTTGCTGCAGATGGCACAGAAGAGCATCTCCAGGTGGTCCTGAGAGAGCTTGTACGTACGCAGGTACCTTATGAGTGAAGCTGGTCCGCCAAGGAGGCACTCGCACAGGCTCTCAACACTCTCTACAGCAATCAAGAAACCCTAGAACGTTGTCTTCCTGTTGGTCATCAGCAGGGATTTGCCATCATCGTCTGTTAGGCTTGTGATGTAGGCCCGCATCTCGCCAAACAAAAAGCTTTCCAGCGGTACTTTGTGCTGTGCCTCATAGGTGCCTTGAAGTTCCTCGTACAGGGGTTCTTTGAATTCAGGGTGTCAAAAAGCCTGTTGAACTTCTTGATGAAGCTAACAGTAGCTGCTTCACCAGAAAACTGGGGCAGCCTCAGGTCTTCGTTGCAGAACGTGAGGGTATCTACAACACTAGCGCCGACTGTTTGCGCTGCAATCGACACTTATTTCCTGGCTTTCCCACTTGACATGAGTATTCCTTAGCTTATTTCCAATTCAGAGGCCCTCTCTTTCTTGCAAATCGCGCAGTGCGGTCAGGTAGGCCCACTTTATTTCTCGACCCTCACCATCCTTGAGAACCTACAGCGTTGCCAGTGTGTTTGAAGACGTTTCAGCATATGGCTTCCGTCAAGGATGATGTGAGCTTTGATGTCTGAGTCGGAGGGATGCCCGAAGCAGGAAACTATGGGTGGCCTCATGTGAGCGCTAAGTGCCTCTAACATGCTGATGTTAGCACGAATACCGTCGCAGACGAGGGCTGGTCTCAAGACTCCTATGTCGTGCAGATTCCGCAGGCAGACCTTCACTATGTTTACTCGCTCGGGGCCAGTTAAGCTGTTGATCAAGATGTATGCGCATGGCACCTTCCAGCTCGTGTCAAGGCCAACCACGAGCAAGGTAAGAGCTTAAGTTGCCACTGGCTGGCTGTTGTCGTCCACACCGGTGCCCATGTCTACAAAGCCACTGCAGCGCTCTCCAATCCCACTCAAAGTGCTTTCTGATTGCCATTTCGTCGATCATTAAGCTGCACACTACTTGTTTCTGGTTCGTTTTTGCTTCCTCCACTTTTCTTTTCAGTGCTTCGAATGCTTCCCGTGTGAAGCCGGGCTCACCGTTGATCGCTGAATACCATGTTCGCAGGGTAGACTGGTGTGGAAGGATCAAAGCGAATGTCTCTCGTTCATACACGCATGCCTTTGTCAAGTAGAACTGGAGAGTCAATGCGAACATCCGTAGGCAAGGCGGATACCCCTTCGTTCGTTTACATGAGTTGTTATTCATTGCTCTCAGGTGCAGCTCCAGTGGTACACCAGACATTGTGTTCCTGATCACCACTGCTGCATCCTTAGACACAAGCTGCTCTTTTTAAACTCTTCCAGAACTGCCTCCATTGATGTTACTCTCTTCTGAATCACGCGGACCTCTTCTACAGTGTTTTAAGCTTCTTTCTCTTTGCCGCAAGCAATTCTGTGGCACACCTCAGTCTTCGCTTTAAGGCTGACGGGCTTTGGGGTCCATCGTATGTGTGGTCAGAGAGTTGTGGGGCTGGAACTCCATCTGTCTCAATTGATGATGCAGGTCCACTCGTGCCCTCTTGAGCACGCTCTGCACGGGGACATGTTCTTTTCCTCGGGGCCTGCAAGAACCAGAATTCGAAAATATATGGAAAGAGTATCGTCAACCTTACATTAAAAGAATAAAAATTTATTGCGCAGATCACACTATTTTGTATGATAATTGTCTGTTCTGTGTTTAATGTTAACATGTAACATTTCCAGGCTAGAATTTGGTTGAAAGTGAACGACTGACTGATGAATGACTGTAGCCTCGTGCCCCCCCCCCCCTCCGGACATTCACCATACCCTCTCTTCCCCCAGGATCCTCCCCGCCCCCCCCCCCCCCCCGGACATTCACCATTCCCTCCGTCCCCAGAACCCAACCGTTGATCTTTCGTGTCTTGATACTTCAGGAAGCGAATGGCGGCGCACAGCAGAGGTTTGAACTGAACGCCGCCAATTTGTTCCAGCGGAATGTGCTTTGTCGTTTGTATTGGTTCTTGTTACTTGTAAAAGAAGCATCAAGGGACTTTAGCCACAAAGTACACGTATCCGTGGTTTTAGTTATTTTCTAACGAGGCACGCCTGAAAGCATTGGTCATTTAAAGGGATACTGAACCGAAAATTCGAGTTCACAAAACAAGGTCGGGCGGATAGGCAGGAAGCTGCAAAACCAAGAAATATCATTCATACGGCGATATATCTAACGGATCGCCGTATTTTTTGGAAAAGAAGTGCGCGATTGAATCCGGCCGACGAGGCCGACGCGACAAGCCACGTCACGATTCCCGTTCTCTCTCCTCCTCGCTACGTCCCGTCAAGCTGGTGAACCGAAGCGAGGAGGAGAGAAGCGAGGCCACTTCTCATTCTCACATTCTCCCGGAGGACGGTTACGTCAAAGAACTCGCTTGATCGCGCCCTTCTTTTCCAAAAGTACGGCCATCCGTTTGAGATATCGATGTACGAGTGATGTTTTGGAGTTCATAGCGTCCCGTTCAACACTTCTGCAGCCTTACTTTGCGAAATCCAAATTTCGGTTCAGTATCCCTTTAACGGACCCCGCAGGGGGCACCTGGGAAGCTAGGTGTTCGGTGAGTGGCGTCACCACGAACCCCGAACAATGCGGGTTCGCCCGCTCATACCTGACTGTGCGTAGCTTTCCCGTGTCCGGGGAAAAGGGCATCCTGCTGGTTGAGCGGAGCCCGGGGTAGGTTTTCACCTTTGGGGGCCCCCCCGGGTTAGGCAATACATTACTTTGGCCCCGGCTTCTGCCCAGCCCCTGGTCGTACTCTGTAATAATACGTCCGAAAGCCAATCAATTATTACCAAGTACGTCCAACCGAGCTGGCTGTCATTAAAACTCTGGGCGTTTCACACACGCAATTTACTCTAACTTTGCTATGTCGTCGCTCGAAGTTGAATGGTTCAACACGTTGTATTTTAAATAAATTATACTGAAAGTTTCTGCAGTTACTTATTTGATCAATCTAGTAATATAGCACAGTTTGGTCAGGCCGCGACATGGTGACAACAGTGGTGTAAAACATGGACATTTGTTTTTTCAATGTCATTAGTAGGATAATAATGCAGTGGTAATACAAATATTTTCAGCCTACTCCGAATGTCCTTATTTCTGTTTAGGCGTAACTAACGCGCTTTCAAGCAAAATACAAGCTGTCAGATTATGTTATGTACCCAGCAACTATATAAAGTGTGCGACAGTTAATGAGAACACGACTTTGGCGCTTTTTCGCATCTAACTTCGAAAAGATAGTGGCCAGCGTAAATAATGACCACTTCAGTTAGTGCCCCAGCTGATGACAGTACGTAAATACTGAAAAAGATGAAGAAAACCGGCGATGGCATGTCACTAAAAGTGTTACTGAATGTACGTTATAACACACAGGGTATGTGTGCATGCGCAATGGTCCCACAACTCTCATATGTACATACCTTTTTCTTTTTTTCTCTCTCTTCCTTTCTCTCTTTATAATCGTTACCTTCCCTCTTCCCCTCCCCCAAGTGTGAAGTAGCCATCCTGCCAATCTCCGCGGGATAACCTCTTCACCTTTCCAATAAACCAAGTTCTCTCTCGCTCTCTCTCTCGTCGCGCATCGCCGCGCGTTCCGTAACGCGTTGAAGAATGAACAGTGCGTATGTGTCTCCCACCTGATACTCAAGCTAAGATGTCTGGTGCGCAACCATCACAAAGTATAAACACTTACCAAATGTTTTCCACAAAACGTGAGGTCGCAGACGAGTTCAATAAGGGCAAATTGCTCTGAACAAAGCCCGAGGTTGCTGATGAGAGTACGGGCTTGAGTCACATACCTCTTTGAGATTAATTACCGTGTCGGTGTTCGGTCTCAGTGTCGAATACAATGATATATACGACTAGTGATTTTTGTTTGAAATAAAAAGCTGCACAATAAAATACGGCAAGAAGAATATCCTTACCTCATTTGGGCAAAATATCACGCCAAACCAAGCGTAGCGCCTCAGCTGCTGTCGCTATTTCCGAACGACCAGCGTTGCTGCCCTAGCCCTTTGACACATTTTTCCCCACCAATTTACGCGAATTGCACAACAGATATGATCTTGGTGGATCTTGAAAGATTACGATAACAAAAGTAGAACAGACTTTACCGTATTTTCTGTGGTTATCCAACTTACTGATAAACGACTGCTTGCCCATGAATATTTGATTCGAAAATCACCACCCCCTAGTCACCTGGATAAAAGTGCTAATTCCACAGCGGGTCGGACTCGTCACTTTGCTCCAAAGCTAGTCAGTGGGCCTTTGGGAAAGCCTCCACAACGCCAGTTTCACTTCCTGGGGGAAAAAAAATACTGAAACAAAATTGTGTTGTTGGGCATGTTTGTCTAAAACTTCAGTCATAAACCGTGTCAGCGATTCGCATCAATGGCTCTCACGATCTCTGTTTCCTGACGGCTTTATCTTAGACAGTTATTTTTTTCACACTGGTGCTTAGATATTATGAATTCGAGAGTAAATTGCACCTCGTTCGCTCTGTGTTTCAGTTGGAACAGCCGCCCAAGCCCTGGACCGTGGGCGAGCTCGTCGGAGGTCTGATGGGCCTGGTGCGGAGCGCTTTCCACTTAGTTCTCCGTGACCTGATGAACCACTACTTCTACAGGTGCGTATACCAAGAGACATCTCACGGTACCTCTTGCAGAGTCGCATACCGAGCGAACCGTTATTTACATGCACTCTTTCCCGTGCCCATCGTCAATTCTAGAACTTTTTACATTTCGTTTAACATGTACTATATAGCAACTAAGAGAATGGGAACGGTACGGCGTGTTTTTGGAACGCCTGGTTTCCAGCAGGCGCTCCGTGCCTTCCGCCGTGCTTTGGTTTGGTGCGTGCGCTCTCACTCGAGGTGCACGATTTGCCGAAGTATTGTCGAAGGTAGGACGCACGCGCTGAGGGCGGGACAACTGAAGGTCCTCCCTGCCATGGACGATATCTAGCCCCTGTAAAGGTCTTGCTGCGCCGAGACGCGGACCCATGCTTAAGCCTCACACCTGGATTACTATCACTCTATACTGTGGAGAGGCTGCTACAGCTTGTAGTGGAAACAAGCATCAACGTCTTCAACGCCACAACGATATGTGTTGAAAAGACTACCAAACCGTTACATTTCCAATGTTTAAAGTTCCATTACTTTCAATGCTTTTTGGGGGATAACTATTATTCCGTAGTGGTAAAGCTTTCGGCATATTTGGGAACTCTAAATAAAAGGTTAGTTCGAAATAATCTGACCGAACGTCAGATCAATACGTGGGATTCAGAAATACCCGTTTCGTTCAAGGTAATTCCGTTCGTTCAATTGAGCCTTTACGAAATCAATGTACAAACGTTTTGTCAACATTTCCTTTTCGTTTTCTGTCGATAGCGTTGTATGCTCAGGCAATAAAGTACTGTTGTTTCAGCTTGTTCCGAGTTGTAGCAATTTCTGTAGATATACAAGCATTAAATCAAACATGTTGAGCACACAAGAAAAAAAAAAAAAACATGGTGGGATGACCAATTTTTTTTTTTTTCTTTAGACAGTCAACTTCATTTATCTTTGTCATGTTTCATTAAAGCTACAAGTGCTGCGCTCTGACGGCGGGCGTGAAATGTTGAAACAGTATAAACATTTTAACTTTTCGCGTCCAAACAAGTTGCACGCAAAGAAAAAAAATTGCAAGACGCGGCAAAAAAAAAAAAAAAAAAACGTTATGGAATTTATTTCTCGAGACGCTCAACACACACACACAAAAAAGGTGTATCCATTACAGCGTTTGTCACATATAAGACACCCCAAAATTTCAGTTCCACATACAGTGCACTGACGTCAAGCTGACGACGCCAACATTTACGAGAGGCTTGATGACGGTGGGATATAACATATTAAACAGTTAAAGTACGTATCAAAGACTACAGTCAAACAACACTGAGGTTTCGCAGTAGGGCCAAGCAAACCCCGATTACCTCTTTTGCGGTCAGTCACACGTACGTACATTAGCTATTTTAATAAGTTGTACAACTCGGCCATCAAGCCGCTCATGAAAGAGGTACCGCCGCTTCAACGTCACAGCGTTGTACGTCGAACTGAATTTTTGGGGTGTATTATATGTGACAAGGGGTGTAAGAATCACCCTTTTTTTCTGCGTGTGAACGCACTTTAACGATTAATTAGCTGCGCAAAAACCATTTAAACTATGAAGTAATACTTAGAGTTTGCAAGATTTATTCTTAAGGACATAATGGATGTGTAGAAGTTATGCCCGACTTCACTATAGTCTAGCAGCGGGCAGTGAAATTTGTATTGAACAACATCCGTAATGATCTATATTTACATCAAGAAAAACGGAAGTTTTGCACATTAAGCATGCGCTGCGCGAAGTAGCCTCTACAAGGCCTGGTTGTCGAAAGAAGAAACGAGGCCTTGGAGTTTCAAACGTGTACCTGTTAATAAAATAACATAAAGTTATCTGAGATGCACCTGCACAGAACTTTAATTCGACACTAAAAGGGGAAAATTAATAACGTTCCGCGAGAAGCCGGACTTTCTACGGTTCTTGATGTGAATACGAGTTTGCGGAGCGCAAGTTCGTCTGCATCTTGCGCAGAGGTTCCGGTGACGTGAGAAAGACGCTGAGCTCTGATTGGCTCGATTGGAAGGATAGTGGTTAGACCCCCAGGCAGCCAGCACTGAGGTCTATGCACTATCCTTCCAATCAAAACCAATCAGATATCGGCGTTCTGATGTCACCGGAGCCCCTGCGCAAAGAGCAGACGAACTTTCGCTCCGCATAAATATGTCACCCTTGTACACGGCTTGAAACCGAAACGAAGCGAGCAAAGAGCGCTAGTGACGTCGATCCCTCCGAGCTATTGCAGCTCGTTTGGCTTGCAAAGCCCGCGGAGGACAGATGGATTTGCGCCCATGACATCATGGGCGCAAAGAGCGCCCATGACGTCATGGGCGAGGGTAAAAAAAAGAGCAACAGAACGACACCCTAGCCAGTGTAGTGCAACTTCCTATACCGCCCATGGAACGCAAATTGGAAAACCCTGGGAGGCAGCAGCGCCATTTGAATCCCCTGGTATCTGGTGGCTGTACTAAAATCAACATGGCGGCACAGCGAAACCAAAACCAAAACTGCACGGCAGCGCCATTGTGTTTGGCTGGATGGGCGGTAGCTTGCGCCACCTAGAGTTAAATATATATATATTGTAGCTTTTTTTTTTTTTTTTTGTCCGGTTTGCGCGTTGCTTTGCTAGGCTTCTGCTGCTTTGCGGCTGGTTTTCGCATTTCAATGCTGGTTAATGTGCGTTGAAACGCACACAAGCCAGCACTGAAAAGCGAGACCAGCAGCAAAGCAGCAGAAACCTAGCAAAGCAACGAAAGTGACACATACACAAAAAATATGCAATGCTTGTCCTTTTGCGTTCATTTTTATTCAACAGACAGTAGAAAATACAGACGAAATTTCTCACTGTTTTGCAAACGAGAAACAAAGAAATGAACAACAAAACGGGATAAAACGTTAAGGTTACGTGCGACGAAGGTGATGATATGCGTCCTTGCAAATTTGATTATATAAGTAAGCATATAAGTAAAGACCGACGACGGTGTCTTAATTGCAACTGAAGGAAACTAAGCAATGAGTACCAAGAAAAACAGCTCAGCTCTTTGGTATTGAGTCTTCATCGAGAACCTGCCCATTCGTTTTTAATATTATCACTTAAATTTAGGAGTGAGTCACTGCTAAACGAAACGGGAAACCAGAGCGGATCGCTCTATCGATCACCCTCAGTTAATCGAAAAATACTTAGGCTCATATTTTCACTCCTCGCAAACAGACGCGTGAATCGCTGACAACAGTGCCAAATAAACAGCTCACAGCAAAAAGTTTGCCATCTTTTAAAGCGAGCATATGTGCTCGATCTTGATATGAAAAAAGTCTACACAGAAGTCTCCAGTAATTTGACAATGACATATTTCTCGCGGCGAGTGAAGAGCAATCCTGAACAATGATAGGATTTGGTTTTGTGATTGGAAACCATTGTAGCTATTGCCAAAATCAAACAATTAATACTGACTACCACTGCACCAGTTAGGTTTTGTTGCAAACATCTAATCAGAAACTTAAGCAAGAGAAGACCAAAAGAGCGTACCGCACGTCCATTCGAACTCGAAACCATTGATATCCCGGCTTTCGGCAGTCATTGTTTCCCCACTTGGCATATCAGGTGGTGTGTTGATGACGAAAATCCATGCTTGACCTCATTACACCAACAAGTTCTCACGAAAAAGAAAATATAGCCGCGCGCGCACGAACGCGGGACGAATCTCGCGCCGCGACGCACTCCCAGAAGCGAAACAACTCGCCGGCTCGCGTCCCTCGCGCGTTCCAACGGTCCACCGACTTCCCGGCGCCAGCGGCCAGCGCATCTCGAGGCGCGAGGCGCGGGTTCGGAGAGAGAGAAAGCGCGCCCAGACACGTTGAAAGAGTGAAAGAGAAAGTTACGATAACAAGCTTCAAAGCCATTCACACCTTCAAAACAACTTCACCTTTATTTCACTTTATTAAATATATGAATCAATTTTATTTAAAATGAAATAACAAGTGCCAACAGCCGCTGGGAGCGCGGCAATCGGAAGCAGTTCGCCGGACCGGACAAACGTCATAAGTATACGCGGCGGGACGGAAGTAGCCGAGAGCTTCACCCCACTGCCCTAGCAACGGCACTCACGCCCAATCGGCTGCCCGCCAACGCGCGGGAACTTGGATTTCGGATTCGGACGGCGCGTGTATCACTAGGGAACTCGTTAACCCACCCCCCTAGCAGATGTGGACGGAACTGGAGCTGGCAGATGTGGACAGACAGAAAGAACGCCATGACGTCGGGTTGGGGTTGGGGGGCCGAGAAAGTGGGGGGGGGGGGGGGGGGGGGCTGAGCGAGTGCTGTTTGGGGTTATACCGTTTCAGAGCTATTGGTTTTAACTAACAGACGGGGACGTCAGTTTTTATTGGACGGATTCCAGTACTCGAGCAGCAAGAACAGATTTATGAAACAGAAATGGGTTCAGAGTGTCACAGTTACCGTCCTTCCCATGTATTTAATATCAGAATCGATGGACATTCGATGGTGAGAAAACTGCCGTGGTCAGCAAATTAACAAACTAAAATGTAACAATTACTTTTGAAATGTTTTTTTTTTTTCCTTTAAAATTGATGTAATGATGGCAATTACTATTCGAGGTCAGACCAGTTTCGATGATTTGGCAAAAGATGTATTTCTAGAAAAGAGTTTGTAAGTTTTCACGTTTCTTCGCATGATTGAAAAAAAAAAATGTGCGCAAAAAGAGTGTGGGAATCCCTGCCCACCGTTTAGAATGACGTAGACGTTTCATTCACGACGTCACCATCTCTGCAGCTCTGCAGTGCGTCGTCCATGCATCCACCAAGAACGCGCTGCCAAATATAACGACATATACGCTCCAAACTTTTTTTATTTCCATATGCAAGGCTTTTATGCAGTCTTGGGTAAGTTACTTTTAAAAAGTAATTTGTTACAATTACTTTCAGAAAAAAGTAGCGAAGTTACCGTTACAGTTACCGGAACAAAAGAGTAACT